GTTTGCGGATGTGTTCTCGCCCCTACCTGGCCGAACGAATCTCATTCAGCACCACGTTGAGACTGATCCGGGGGCCGTAGTACGTTGCCGCCCGTATCGTTTACCGGAACACAAAAAAAAGTGGTTCAGGACGAATTAGAGACAATGCTGGACCTGGGGGTAATAGAAGAATCCAACAGTGACTGGGCAAGCCCGATAGTTTTAGTCCGAAACCTGACGGCTCGGTTCGGTTCTGTGTGGATTATAGAAAGGTGAACGCGGTGTCTAAGTTTGATGCTTATCCAATGCCGAGGATTGACGAATTGCTTGATCGGCTTGGTTCCGCTCGATTTTATTCGACACTGGATTTAACAAAGGGATATTGGCAGATCCCCTTATCTCCAATGTCCAAAGAAAAAACAGCTTTTACCACGCCGTTTGGATTACACCAATTTGTCACGCTTCCGTTCGGGTTGTTCGGGGGCACCGGCGACTTTTCAGCGTTTGATGGACAGAATTCTCCGGCCGCATGCTGCATATGCCGCTGCTTACTTGGATGACATCATCATCTATAGTAATGATTGGCAGCGTCATATGCAGTATTTGCGTGCTGTCCTGAAAACGCTGAGAAGAGCTGGGCTCACGGCCAACCCGAAGAAGTGTGCAATTGGGCGGGTGAAGTAAAGTATCTGGGGTTCCACTTGGGACATGGACAGGTGCGTCCCAAATTGATAAGACAAGCTGCAGTTGCAACCTGTCCAAGTCCGAAGACCAAAAAGGAGGTTAGGCAGTTCCTGGGGCTAGCGGGATATTATAGACGGTTTTGTACCTAACTATTCGGACCTCGCTAGCCCGCTGACTGACCTAACTAAAAAGGGGGCTCCAGATACAATTCAGTGGACGGAGCAGTGCCAGCGGGCTTTTACCCAGATAAAGGCTGCTCTGTGCGGCGGCCCGCTTTTGCATGCTCCTGACTTTTCTCTCCCTTTCATCCTACAGACGGACGCGTCGGACAGGGGTTTGGGCGCGGTCCTGTCCCAGGAGGTGGGGGGGGAGGAACGGCCGGTGCTGTACATCAGTCGGAAGCTTTCGAAGAGAGAGACGATGTACAGCACCATTGAGAAGGAGTGTTTGGCCATACGGTGGGCTGTCCTCACCCTCCGCTACTACCTCCTGGGCCGGGAGTTCACCCTGTGTTCGGACCACGCGCCCCTCCAATGGCTCCACCGCATGAAAGATACCAACGCGCGGATCACCCGGTGGTATTTGGCGTTACAACCTTTTAAGTTTCAGGTGGTCCACAGGCCGGGGACGCAGATGGCGGTGGCCGACTTCCTCTCCAGGAGGGGGGGGGGGAGGCTGCAGGCCGGACGGTTCCCCGGCCTGAGTCGGGCGGTGGGGGTATGTGGTAGGGGGCGTGGTTTTCGCGGCGTCTGTAGTGAGAGACGAGTCAATGAGCTGCGCGGAGAGTAAGTCGGTCAAGTGCAAATGATGAACAGCTGTGTCTATATGCAGTGATTGGAGCGGGGAGACCGTAAAGGCCGCAGACTGGGAGAGAGGAGAGAGAGAGAGACCTGGGAGCTTGTGTGGCAGTCTGAGCAGCGGGAAGAGACTGTGTCCGAGAGACTTGAAAAAGCTGTATACAGCGGGAAAGAGTTTTATGATTTGCTGTTTGTTTTATTTCTGAGTTGTGTTTGTGAAGAGCGCTGAGGCGCCGTGGGAAGAGATATCAAAAAAATAAAAACACACAAGCTCCTCTATTCGCCGATCCTGTCTCCTTCTTCACCCCTAACTGAACTTTATTACACATACATAAACATGGGAATTACTAATATTGTTCAAAAATTATAGCATGTAGAACCACATATGACATAAAAATGTTACTTGTTCTCAAATTCAAATTCAATTGAACTCAAATTCATTGAAATTGTATGTTTAACATCCTATACTTTGCATAAATTGGAGGTATAAAGTGCAGTCAGGGAGGGATGGGGGTTTGCAGAAGCTGGGGATAGCGTCATTTGTGTGCCTCAATCCTGAGCGAGTAATTTTAAGTTTTGAGCACAGAGAACTATATTTTGAACAGAAATTAACTATATTTTGAAAAACAAATTAGTTTGAGCAAAGAAAAAAACGATTCTGTGCTCAATAAATGTATTTGCTATTATCCATATTAATGTGCAATAATAACCCCTCTCACACAGTTTACAGGTGCTCTCTCAAACTTATTCTCTGCACTCCTGTCAAGTCCCTCTCTCTCTCTCTCGTGCTCAACTCTTGACACACACGCTTGCTCAACTTGCAACAGCGTTACAAGTGTGCCGCAAAATTAACCAATTGGAAAATTAAAGGTCAATTGTGATTGGCTGTCTCCAATCAAATCGCTAGTAGAACCAAAGCCCGTCTGGTAACAGACTACAGTGTAATAGTCCTACACAGTCTCATCCCAAGAAGTCATATAACTGACATCTTGGGACGTCTTTTTACCATACGTCAATATCCGCCTTTATAGGGTACCCTTAAACGTCGGTTATATGACGATCCTGGGACGACATACAACTGACGCTTTACCTTTAACGTCGGTTAGGTGACGGGGTAGGTTTAGGATCCGATAACGTCATCTAACCGATGTTTAAGGGTACCCTAAAAAGGCGGATATTCACGTATGGTCAAAAGACGTCCCAAGACATCAGTTATATGACGTCTTGGGATGAGACTGCGCTGTAATAGCCAATCACAATTTACCTTTAATTTTCCGATTGGTTGATTTTGTGGCACACTTCTCAACTCAGCTTTATTTATATAGCACCACTAAAAACAACAGTTGTTGACCAAGGTGCTGTACAACGAACGTCATCAAGATTCCGCACCAAGTACAACATAGATTACAATTACAAACAAATCACTGAACATATCAAACACAGCACACATCAACTACAGTTATAAGCCAAGGAAAAAAAATATGTTTTGAGTTTAGCTTTAAACTCATGAAGTGAAGAGGCAGATCTAATAGGGGCAGGGAGGCTGTTCCAAAGTTTTGGTGCAGCCACGGCAAAAGCTCGATCTCCTCTAGTTTTTAATCTGGACCGCGGAACAGTTAATAGTCTCTGGTTGGATGACCTAAGAGACCTTCCCGAGTTGTGACTGGATAGAAGGTCTGACATATATACAGGAGCCAATCCATTCAAGGATTTAAAAACCAGCATCAGCACTTTAAAATCTATTCTGTAACAGATTGGGAGCCAGTGCAGAGATTTCAGAACCGGAGTAATATGATTCCGTTTGCGCACCCCAGTAAGGAGCCTAGCAGCTGCATTCTGTACCATTTGCAAGCGGTTGAGTGGTGCACGGTTAATGCCCAGATACAAAGAATTGCAGTAATCAAGCCTCGTTGAGATAAAGGCATGTATCGCCTTTTCGAAATCTTTGAAAGAGAGAAATGGTTTAACTTTGGCTAGCAGTCTGAGATGAAAAAAACTGGTCTTGACTACCATATTAATCTGTTTATCAAATTTAAGGGCTTCATCAAAAGTCACGCCCAAATTCTTCACAATCGGTTTAACACGTTGAGATAGAGAGCCAAGATTTAAGCAGTGAGAACTTGCGGCATCTGGTGGGTCGAAAACGATAATTTCAGTTTTGTCTTCATTAAGGTGGAGAAAATTTAGGGACATCCATGCCTTTACCTCTGCTAGACAAGCAAGCAGAGTATCCAACCCCACGTTGTTAGCTTCCAGGGGTAAGTAAATTTGGGTATCATCAGCAAAGCTGTGAAAGGAGACATGTTTTCTAAATATCGACCCAAGGGGAAGCATATACAACGAGAATAAAAGTGGGGCCAGAATAGACCCTTGAGGGACCCCGCAAGTAAGAGACACTGCATCAGAGGTAAACTCACCAATGCTAACCGAGAACCTTCTATTACTCAAATAAGATTGAAACCATTTAAGGGCATTTCCCTGAATGCCCACCCAGTGCTCCAGACGTGAGATGAGGATAGAGTGGTCAATTGTGTCAAACGCTGCGCTCAAATCCAACAGCACTAGCACAGCAGATTTGCCAGAGTCAAGAGTCAGTAAAATATCGTTTAGAACTTTAACCAGTGCTGTTTCAGTAGAGTGGTTTTTCTTAAACCCTGATTGGAATATCTCGAAGATCTTATTTTTATCTAAGAAGCTCTGTAGTTGGGTAAAAACTATTTTCTCTAAAATTTTCGACATAAAAGAAAGATTTGAGACTGGCCTAAAATTTGTTAACACTGACGGATCTAAATTAGCTTTTTTGAGAAGTGGGTGGACAATAGCATGCTTCATTTCATCTGGCACAGTTGCATCTACAAGGCAGCTATTCATGATCTTTTGAACGATGGGCCCAATCACCTCAAACACTAGTTTAAAAAAGCGTGGGGGAAGAGCGTCATGGGGGGATCCTGAGGGTTTGAGCCCGTCTACAATATCTTGTAGAGCAGGCAAAGTAACTGGCTCAAAGTGACTTAGGATACTAGTGCAGAGTGGCGGGAGAAAAGAATCATAAAGTGCTGTGGAGATATTTAGCCTAATATCACTTATCTTATCCACAAAATGTTTTTGAAATGTGTCACAGATAGCTTGAGATTCTGTAGGGTATAAACTGACTGTTACATCGTGGAGTGCTATTTATGCACGACTTGTTTAGAGTGATGACACTGACACGAGCATTTCACATAGCAGCCTTTACTGACTCGAGACTCAACAAGACACAGTTGTTCTGCGCATGAACAATATCCCGAGGAGGGCAAATACGGAATCACCGTAAGGACAAAACCCGAAACGTTAAGTAAACAATACACAACATATTCCTCCCCTTTTACTTTTGAAGTCAATCTCAACAAATAAATGCTTTTGATGTCATACATACATTTGTCTTTAGTTTAAGAACATTACTCTTATTATTATTATTTTCATGAACATTCTATTAACTTTTCTAACTCTGGGGAAGGAGGGTAGACTGCCTCAATTCCCTGGCGGAACCCTGGGGATTATTCTGCCCCAATGTCGTGGGTTAGCCTCTAGACTAAAGATCCAATCTCCGTGGTGGTTTTCGCACTCTAGTTGGGTAACGATGGAGAACAGGCACCGGTGGTGTTTCTACTGGAGTGTCTGTAACAGTCACTGATGAGGAAGAAGTATTCTCAACGGGAACGCTTACCCGCGGTTCACTCGAAGATGGTGTGGGTAAGGTTTCTGATACCACCTTTCGACCCGAGTTGAAGAGAGATGCGTGTTGATGTGCGTCCAATTCACAGGGATCATCACTGGAGATTGTCGAGGACAACAACTGGTCAACATGTCTCCTCCACGTAAACTTTTCCTTTGTTTCAACGATGTATGAAACAGGGCCGGTTTGTGCAAGAACAGTTGCAGGTACCCATTTCGCTCCCTTTCCATAATTACGAGCAAGTATCTCATCACCTCTGTTGAAACTCCTGAACTTCGCTTTGGATCGCCTCTCCACCTGCATTTGCTGTTGTGACAATACAATCTGCTTGGTTCCGGTTGGTCTCAGAAGATCCAGTCTGTTGCGTAGTTGTCGTTTCAACAAAGCTGTAGCTGGAGAGACTTTTGTGGTTGCATGAGGAGTGTTTCTGTAGGACAATAGAAATGTGTTCAGTCTTTGGTTTAGGGAGCCCTTACCCTGAGATGTCTTTAGCGCCTTCTTCAGTGTCTGCACGAATCGTTCAGCCAGGCCATTTGTGGATGGATGATAAGGAGCAGATCTGATGTGCTGAATTCCATTTACACTCAGGAAAGACTGAAACTCTTCAGACACTAGCTGGGGCCCATTATCACTTACAAGCTGTTGTGGCAGTCCAAAACGACTGAAAACATTTCTAAGCTCCTCAATGGTCTTCTCCGAAGATGTGTTATGCATGACCGCAACCTCAGGCCATTTGCTGTGAGCATCCACAAGTACCAGAAACATGTGGTTCTCCAGAGGTCCTGCGAAGTCTATGTGAATTCTTTGCCATGGCACCTCTGGAAAATCCCATGGATGTAAGGGAGCTGGCTGGGGCATGTTCCTTACATTCTGACATTCTGAACAACCCTTTACTTCCTCCTCGATCTCTGCATCCAAGCCAGGCCACCAGAAGTAGCTGCGTGCCATCTCTTTCATTCTCACTATTCCCGAATGACCAGCGTGAAGTTCTTTCAACAAACGGTGCCTCAGGGGCGGGGGTATGATGACACGATAACCCCACAGTAAGCAATCCGACTGCACTGTCAACTCATTTCGTCGAATCAGATAGGGTTTGAATTTATCTGTCATCTTCCCTTTCCAGCCCTGAGATATCCTGGTCAGAACTTCTGACAAGACAGGGTCAGTTCTTGTGAATCGTTTCACTTGGGCAGCAGTTACCGGAGCACCTTGCACTTCTTGGAAGTAGAATATGTCGCCTTGAGGGCATTCTGGCTTTGTGTCTGGCAAAGGCAGCCTAGACAGTCCATCCGCATTGCAATGTTGCTCAGACCTCTTATACTTGATGTCGTACTGATGAGCCGACAGTAGCAGAGCCCAACGTTGCATGCGATTCGCTGCCAGAGAAGGAATACCGGTTTGGGGACCAAAAATGGAGGTAAGGGGTCTGTGGTCTGTGAGCAGGGTAAATCTGCGCCCAAACAGGTACTGGTGAAATTTCTTCACACCAAACACGATTGCTAAAGCTTCTCGCTCAATTTGAGCATAATTACTCTCTGCTGAGTTCAGAGTCCTTGACGCAAAAGCGATTGGTCTTTCTTCACCAGATGGCATTACATGTGAAAGTACCGCACCTACACCATACGGTGAAGCATCACATCCCAACTGTATCGGTAGGGCAGGGTTGTAATGTGTGAGGACCTCTGATTGTGTTAATGTGCACTTCACATCTCTGAATGCCTTTTCACATTTGTCAGACCATTTCCATTTGTTTGACTTGTTTAACAGTTCATGAAGTGGACGAAGTCTACTGGAAAGGTTTGGCATGAACTTTGCATAGTATGTTAGCAATCCTAGGAATGATCGCAGTTGGCTTACGTTCTTTGGTGACAGCGCATCCACAATAGCTTTTACCTTTGATGGAGCTTTGTGAAGACCAGCGCTATCAATCACGTGTCCTAGGTACTCGATGGTGGGCTGGAAGAAGTCACATTTGTCTTTCTTCACCCGAAGGCCATACTCTTTTAGCCTTTGTAGTGTTGCGTTCAGGTTCCCGAGATGGTCTTCATCATCTTTCCCTGTAATTAACAGATCATCGAGATAACACTGTACTCAATTCAATCCACTCAGGATCTGGTCCATGGCCCGCTGGAACAACGCTGGAGCCGAAGTTATGCCGAAAGGAAGCCTCTGATACCTGTATAGGCCCTTGTGTGTCACGATGGTCAGCAGCTCTTGGGAAACAGGATCCACCTGCATTTGGAGGTAAGCTTGACATAAGTCTATCTTGCTGAATTTTTGGCCGCCTGCTAATCCAGCAAACAGATCTTCAATTAGTGGCAAGGGTAGTGTTCAACAGTTAACACCGGGTTGATAGTAACCTTGAAATCGCCACAAATTCTGACTGATCCATCCTTTTTCAGTACAGGAACAATTGGCGTGGCCCACTCGCTAACACTCACTTTCTTCAGTACACCGGTTTCCTCCAGCCGGTCTAATTCAGTTCCTACCTTAGGCTTTATGGCGTAAGGAACTGGGCGAGCCTTTAAGCACTTAGGTTTACTATCAGACTTAATGGTCAGTTTTACAGTGATATCTTTCATGCTTCCCAATTCATCTCCAAACACCTCTGCATGCTTCCTCAGAATGTGTTGTAGGCTGGTAGACTCTTTCGCCACTAAATGTACTTCCTGCCAGTTTAGCTTTATTTTCTCTAGCCAAGATCGACCGATCAGAGCTGTGTGACTACTACCTTTCACAATATACAGTGGTAAGTTTACCTTTTGTCTGTTTAGCTCTACAGACACATCCACGACTCCTGACAGAGGTACAAGCTCACCTGTGTATGTTTTCAAGCTCAGCTTCGCTTCTTTGAGACAGAGGTATGGCCACTTCTCTCGGTAAGTTGACTCTGCCATGAGCGATACAGCAGCTCCTGTGTCCACTTGCATTGGGACAGCTTTTCCATCTAGAAGTGGTGTCACCCAGTAGCCATCAGAATTTGAAGACACAGACATTACATGCGAGTATTCAGTTTCATCAGATTCATCCTCCTGTTGTTTCCCTGAATATTTCACTTGATTCACGTTTTTCTTTTTGAGTTTTCTGACATAACTTTTCTTGAACTCTCCAGGTTTAGCTGGGTTTGTTTTCTCATTTTGCTTTCTGTTTTGGCACACACGTTCAATATGGCCTTTTTTTCCACAGTTTCTGCAGTCTTTGTCTTTGAACCAGCATTCCTGTGCCATATGACTACTCTTTCCACAGCGATAACATGCTCGCTTATCATCCTGTTTCACTCTTTCACTGTACACATTGTGAACTTGACTGGCTGTGCTTAACTCTTGTGCTTCTTTTGCAGCCATTTCCATGGATACACCGATTTCCATTGCTCGCTCTAGCGTTAGGTTACTTTCACATAAGAGTCGCTTTTGAATGGTCTCACTACGCAACCCACACACAAATCTGTCTCTTATGGTGTCACTCAGTGTTGTGCCGAACTCACAGTGTTCTGACAGACGCTTCAGTACAGCCACAAATTGTGCAATCGATTCTCCTTCTAATTGGTTGCGTTTATGAAAGCGGAATCTTTCAGCAATGATGAGTGGTTTTGGTGCATAATGTTCCTGGAGCATTGTTACAATGTCCTTGAATGAGCTATCACCAGGTTTATTGGGCTGGACCAGGCTACGTAGTAGATTATATGTCTTACAACCCATTACACTGAGAAAAGTTGGTACTAGAACCTCATCTTTTATCCCATTAGCCTTGACAAAATAATCGAACCGCTCCGTATACGAGCTCCACTGCTCGACAGTTTCATCATATGGTCCGATTTGCCCCACTAGACCCGCCATTTTGGTCTGTTTGTCAGTGTAATTTACCACTCACTCTTCTTTTATACTGGACTCCTTTCCCTCCCGTGCCGTTTTGCGTCGCCTTCGTGGTGTGCAGTTGCCGTTATCTGTTTGCGCTATTTCCCAGCGCGACGAGCATCGCACGACATGACTCGCGTGCGTTTTTTTTGCCTGTTAGCTTCCACTGCTCGACGCCGTCGCGGTTAACGAGTCGCCGTCAGCTGAATAGCACGTTATCTCGGAGGGAGAGAGAGAGTTTATCCTCGTCGCCAACTTTGTTACATCGTGGAGTGCTATTTATGCACGACTTGTTTAGAGTGATGACACTGACACGAGCATTTCACATAGCAGCCTTTACTGACTCGAGACTCAACAAGACACAGTTGTTCTGCGCATGAACAATATCCCGAGGAGGGCAAATACGGAATCACCGTAAGGACAAAACCCGAAACGTTAAGTAAACTGATATTGTTTCAGATTGTTCCTTAGAATTTCATATGAAATTTGGAGCTTATCTTTTTTCCATCTCCTTTCGGCCCTTCTGCAGGCCTGGCGGAGAGCACGAGTATTGTCATTAAGCCAGGGATCACGTTTTAATTTGTGTTGTTTGGCTTTTAAGGGTGCCAGAGAGTTTAAAATATTAACTGAAATGGTATTAAAATGATTAAGAGAATCTGCACCACTCCAATTATCACAAAAAACGTCAGGTGATTGGGACAGATCATTAAACACAGCTGAAAACTCAGAAGAGGTAGTCGATGTGATTTTACGAGACCATCGAATAGCCTTAGTGGGTCTTGTAATGTGAAAAGCAGTGGGGACTCTAAAGACAATAGGCTTATGATCAGAAATAAGATGGTCCTCTATTACAAGGTCACTGACTGACAAACCATGTGAAAGCACCAAGTCCAGAGTATGGCCCTGAATATGAGTGGGTGCTCTTGCACGTTGAGCGAGCATGTCAAGAGTTGAGCGCGCACAGAATTAAGAGGTTGAGAGAGAGAGAGGGACTTGACAGGAGTGCAGAGAATAAGTTTGGGAGAGCACCTGTAAACAGAGTGAGAGGGGTTATTATTGCACGTGCATATGGCTAATAGCAAATACATTTATTGAGCACAGAATCGTTTTTTTTCTTTGCTCAAACAATTTTTTTTTTGCGATTGTTAATTTCTGTTCAAAATATAATGCATTGTATTTTTTTTATGGGGGGGGGGGGGGGGGCTAAACAAAGTGTGAGGGTGGAGCAGAGTCGTACAACTAATATAGAAAACAATAAAACTTGTGGCTCTTTTCCACTGACTGGTACCAGATCCACTTGACTCTGGTACCAAGCACTTTTGGTTCCACCTTTGTTGAAGTTCCAACAATGATGTGCAGATAGCTCTGTGGTCATTGTTATTGCTAGCATCATGTTAACGTTCTGAGCAGGTCCTCAACAGCAGCTTAGAGTTAGCGAGACAGGACAGCCGATAGAGTAAATATTGCTCCCCAAAAACATGTCTGTATTGCGATGATTTCAGAATACTGTTGATTTTATCTGTTCTGCTGTAGTGATTGCTGTTACAAACTTTTACAAAATGGTGATGCAAAGATAGTTCACTTCAGTATCACTATAGCAACCGGTTCCATGAAATGGTACTTTTATGCAGTAGAAAATTAAACCAAAAATTTAAAACCAAACCAAGTAGAGTCATGTTGAGGTGAGTGGAACCAATACCATTCAATGGAAAAGGGACTATACATATGTTAGTGAGGAAAAAAAAATCCAAATTTGACTTACAGCCCATTCTGATGTTCTCTTTCAGCTTCTCCACTCCCTTTATCTCCTTATTGAGAGATGTGATGTGCTGAGACATCTCCTTAACCAGGATGCTCTGCTCCTCCTCAATGCGTCTAATTAGCATAATTTGGTCAAAAAGAGACCGTTTTAACCTGAAGGAGTGACCTTTAGGTAGTGGGAATAGATGGACATATGAAAAAGTGATTTAGTATTTATGATTAAGTTATAAACCAAAACATATGAGAGAGAGAGAGAGAGAGAGAGAGAGAGAGAGAGAGAGAGAGAGAGAGAGAGAGGGAGATTTTGCAATATCGTATACAGACAGGTATACATTTTCAAGAACATGTCAGGACTACCACCACACCATCCTCACGTCTCTCCCAAGGCAGGATGTAGTCCTCTGTCGAATTTGAGCCCAACTCCTCATAAATTTTATCTTCTGCAATAGCATTGTACAGCTGGATCTTTTGTTTCATTTTTTTTTTAATTCTCCTATTTTTCTTCTTTTTCTCTGTCTTGTCTGGTTGCTATCTGCAAAACGAAATAAGAAAACTATCAGGAAAACTGTTTTTGTTTGTTTGCAATGTGCCATTTGAATATCAGTCAACCAACCATGCTTCTTGCGTAGCAGAGCCACTATGATGCTCTCTATCTTAACCCTGAGATCCTCTGTTGCTCCCTGTTCTGCTGTGCTCCCTGGCTCTTAATAGGAAACACAATTATTTCAGAAATTGTTTAATTTAAAAATGTCTGATCACCTTAAGTAGTTAATATTTGAACAAACTAATTAACAGATGTGATTTACCTGTGACTGCCCACTGCTGAACATCACACACCCACTGCTGTGCTGTTTGTTCAGTGATGTCATTCTTCTGGCGGAAATCACTGAAGCTGGCAACTTCAAGCTTTACCTTCTCGGAAATCTTTAAATCACACAAAAATACCATACAAGCTTTCAGACAATACCGAGATCAAATTGAAATTCCATAACCTACAGTTTATAAATTAATAGATGAATGAGCTTATTACAGATGGATAGACGCCAGCTCTGCAGTTTGTTGTTAAAATGTATGTTGTGTCAGGCAAAAGGACCATTGGGAAATGTCTTTACTTTGATGTATCTGCAGGCTAAGACTTTATGAAGGTTCTCTGTCTTTTTTCTGTTCCACCCCATGGCCTGTTGCGTAAGCATATTCTCTTTCCCTGATTACAAAAAAATATGCATGCATGATTGGATCAATTTACATGAGAAAGACCATTGCAGTTAGACATGACCAAACACAAAAATTACTTTAGTGCAAGGATAACATGAAAATTACATTTTAGAAGTCAGAAATACCTCATCATAGCGTATGGTTTGTATTGTGTCATACCAACCTGCCTTTGTCATGTACTTTGTGACAAGAGCTGCCCTGGATAGAAAGCTGTTTACCTAGATAAACAATACAGAAATTAATGTATTCCTATATAACATAAAAAAAAAATGTATGTATATGTGAACATGTAGCCATACTGTTTTATTGTTTGTCTTATTGTTTAACTAATATCTTATCAGATAATGCAGATAATGAATTTGCAGATAATGAATTTCCCTAACATGATCAAATGAGTGTATATAATTAAATAGTGAAGCTCAGAGGGAACAAAGCTTGAAATAGTGATGCATCATGCATAAAACACCACTGCTCACTTCACTTTTTTATTTCAACAAAATATGTGTTGCAACTACAGTTCAGATCGTGCTCTGATGGTCATTCGAGCAAGCATAGATCTTTGTTTGGTACCCTGATGTACTTTATCCTTCGCACTCTGCTTAAATGTATCAGTAAAATCTCCTATATCTACATAGTTACAATAATGTCTGTAATAACATACTTGCTCAACTTCCTCTCCAACAGTGTTCCCTGCTCCATCCTGATTCCTACCACCCCATCTCACCTGCAACAGTGTTGGATTAATTTCATACCATAACTTTAAATAATGTCATTTATTATGTGCACATTAAAATCTTTTTCACTTTAAAGGTGTCATATTTTATCTGCATAATATACTACACAAGATATACTAATCACAGACTTACAACTTAGTAATAACAATTTAAAATAATAAAAAACAATCATTGCACGACTTCTAGCACTAGCTGCCTGCTGGCTACTGTTGCATCTAAATTTCAGTAATTTGAGGTACCTCGCATTTTGCTGTATGAGCTTTGGCATGCATCACACTAAGAAATGGCCTCATTTCCATCAGTGGTTGAAGATCGGATGATTCTTCAGTCGCTTTGCTTAGGTATGGCCGCCAGTACCTAAAAAGAAGCACAGCATTAGTAGGCATTAACTAATACTTTGCCTGGCCATCAATATAAAACGACTGAAAAAAAAAACAGCCACTTGCCATTTAATGTACAGTAGGTTGACCAAGTTTCAATATGAAAGAGAAAAATTACCTGCAGACAACATCCATGCAGAAGAAAGTGACATTGGCCCTCTCTGACAATTGTTTCTGTAAAAACATTGGGTAGGCAAAGACCTCGCCACGGTAGTGGTCCAGTCCACGCAGCAATATCCCGTGTCTGATGCACAAGAGGACAATATTTTTAATGATCTGTTTACACAATA